GCTCCCACATGTCCGCACAATTGCGGCACGTCGGCGTGCTTGACATGGTGCGCACTTTCCGTTATGGTTACCCCGTGCGCCTGTCCTTTCCCGGCTTCCTCAACAGGTCAGTGTGAGTGTGGTTTTGCGGTTTCAGAAGCAACAATTTATTTAAAAAAAAAAAAAAAGTGAAAACACAGCATTAATTGAGGAAAAATCAAAAATCTGAAAAAATATTGAAAAAAACTGAATATGCAGGGCTTGACTGTACTTTTAAATTGTAATATCACCAGTCGCCCTTAGATGGCAGACGTCTTATTCACGCTTACGCTAGGTCTTAGGCTACATTCACACTGCTGCTGAATTCCGATTTTTTTGCACATATGCAACAGAAATCCGATTATTTTTTTTTCGTGTAGTGTGAATAGTACAACACAGATTTTTTTCAAACCTGGGCCCTCCTTCAAATGTGGATATAAATCGGATATTTACGCAATGAATCTGCAGGATGAATGCTCATACGCACACAACCGAGCAATGATACATCGTCAAAAGCCCGATATCTGCTTCTAAAAGACCGACATTGCGTCGTAAAGCCACGAGACTTTGAATGAATCTCTAACATGCCTTTATAAAGCAACAACAATATGAGTTAAGAGAAGGGGAAGCGCTTTGCCTGCTGGTGATGCATGTCTGCCGAACGTGCCTCAGGGAAGCGGCGCCTGCGCTTTGAATGAGACCAGTGTGTTTCACAATCACAGTGGCCTTTTGGGCGCGTGGTCCAAGAGTCCTTTGGGGAGGAGGGAGGGAGTCGGTGCTGGAGAGAGTAGGTTGAAGAATGACGCTGTACCACGCTTGAAGCCCTCCTCATGAATGAATGAACAATGGACAGCAAGCACTGTGTGACGTGCATCCTGCCAATGCTGCCAGAACACACGTATTCTCCGATGTGAGGGCTGTTGAGGGCTCGGAGTTGAGGGGGGAGTGGGAATTGTGAGGTATGCAGAGCGTGAGGTTGACGTTTGGGGAGTGGCGAAGCATGCAGTTGTTTTCAAGTTGAAGTGTGCGTGAGTACAAAGGAGTATTGGGGCAGCACGAAAAAGAAAAGGATTTCTTGTTCTCCAAAGAATACAATCTCATCCTTGTGATTTCTCAACTTGAGTTGTCTTAACACTGCAAATGTATGATAGCTCGTAATTTTCGGACTCAAATCTCACGGCGTTGCAACTTTGCTTGTAATATTTTGACTTGTAATATGACAGATATTCTGGAAAATGCTTCAACTTTCTTGTACTCTTACGCCTTGATATTCAAAACATGGCAACCCCTCCCCCTCAAAAAAATCTTAAATTTAAGAAATGTTCTTGGCATAGTTTGGCTTCATTTTTCTCAAGGATTATTATCAATATCCATGTGGCAGCTCACGCTATGTTACAACTTTATTTCGTACATAACTTTCACTTTGTAATTTGACTTTTTTTTTTCTAGTGCCGCCATAATTCTTCATTAATACTTACAACATAGTGTGTGTTTTGGGGGAAATCTTGTTGGCATTTGCGGAATAAAAGAAATGAGGGCTTGAAAATAAAAAGAAAAAAAAGTGACACCACCAAGGACGTCAGAGAACCTCGTTTTCTTCTCTCACGTGTCAAACAAAGAACAGACCTTATGAAACACATTGTAGGTCATCATCTAGAGCGCAATCTTGCCTTGTTATTATCGTAACATAGCCGGTGGGCACCTTATGACTCTGTCCCCTTTTCCTCTTCTTCCGTGCAGAACTCGCTGTCAGAGATCATCAGCAAACTGCAGGCTTCCACAGCTCACTTTGTGGAGTGCATGCGCCCCAACGCCAGCGGTCAGCCCGACACCTTCGACAGCTCCCACATGTCTGCACAATTGCGGCACGTCGGCGTGCTTGACATGGTGCGCACTTTCCGTTATGGTTACCCCGTGCGCCTGTCCTTTCCCGGCTTCCTCAACAGGTCCGTGTGAGTGTGGTTTTGCGGTTTCAGAAGCAACAATTTATTTAAAAAAAAAAAAAAAGTGAAAACACAGCATTAATTGAGGAAAAATCAAAAATCTGAAAAAATATTGAAAAAAACTGAATATGCAGGGCTTGACTGTACTTTTAAATTGTAATATCACCAGTCGCCCTTAGATGGCAGACGTCTTATTCACGCTTACGCTAGGTCTTAGGCTACATTCACACTGCTGCTGAATTCCGATTTTTTTGCACATATGCAACAGAAATCCGATTATTTTTTTTTCGTGTAGTGTGAATAGTACAACACAGATTTTTTTCAAACCTGGGCCCTCCTTCAAATGTGGATATAAATCGGATATTTACGCAATGAATCTGCAGGATGAATGCTCATACGCACACAACCGAGCAATGATACATCGTCAAAAGCCCGATATCTGCTTCTCGAGCAGTGGAGAGAGTGCTCGGGAGACCACTGATATTGTCCGTGAATCGTTTTCAGTAACAGTTTGACTTATTTATTTAATCCCAAGTGAAAAATACAGCATAAGGTGGACATTTGTGGTGATAGTCGTAATTCAGCCATGCAGATGCTTCATTTATTATACACAGCAAAGACGTGGCATAATCTTTAATAGACCTCTCCATTAAATGAGGATATCCCTAAATTTTGACTTGCCTCGCTACTCTGGCAATGTTAAAGATGAGAAAATGAGCCCCTGCATGCGGGACTTTATTTACTTCCATAAATACTGCAAATGTATGATAGCTCGTAATTTTCGGACTCAAATCTCACGGCGTTGCAACTTTGCTTGTAATATTTTGACTTGTAATATGACAGATATTCTGGAAAATGCTTCAACTTTCTTGTACTCTTACGCCTTGATATTCAAAACATGGCAACCCCTCCCCCTCAAAAAAATCTTAAATTTAAGAAATGTTCTTGGCATAGTTTGGCTTCATTTTTCTCAAGGATTATTATCAATATCCATGTGGCAGCTCACGCTATGTTACAACTTTATTTCGTACATAACTTTCACTTTGTAATTTGACTTTTTTTTTTCTAGTGCCGCCATAATTCTTCATTAATACTTACAACATAGTGTGTGTTTTGGGGGAAATCTTGTTGGCATTTGCGGAATAAAAGAAATGAGGGCTTGAAAATAAAAAGAAAAAAAAGTGACACCACCAAGGACGTCAGAGAACCTCGTTTTCTTCTCTCACGTGTCAAACAAAGAACAGACCTTATGAAACACATTGTAGGTCATCATCTAGAGCGCAATCTTGCCTTGTTATTATCGTAACATAGCCGGTGGGCACCTTATGACTCTGTCCCCTTTTCCTCTTCTTCCGTGCAGAACTCGCTGTCAGAGATCATCAGCAAACTGCAGGCTTCCACAGCTCACTTTGTGGAGTGCATGCGCCCCAACGCCAGCGGTCAGCCCGACACCTTCGACAGCTCCCACATGTCTGCACAATTGCGGCACGTCGGCGTGCTTGACATGGTGCGCACTTTCCGTTATGGTTACCCCGTGCGCCTGTCCTTTCCCGGCTTCCTCAACAGGTCAGTGTGAAGTGTGGGTTTGCGGTTTCAGAAGCAACAATTTATTGAAAAAAAACGGTGAAAACACAGCATTAATTGAGAAAACAGGCTTGACTGTACTTTTAAATTGTAATATCACCAATCGCCCTTAGATGGCAGACATGTCTTATTCACACTTACGCGAGGTCTTAGGTTACATTCACACTGCTGCTCAATTCCGATTTTTTTGCACATATGTAACAGAAATCCGTAAATCCTTTTTTTTTTTTTTTTTCGTGTAGTGTGAATCGTCAAAAAGCCCGATATCTGCTTCACGAGCAGTGGAGAGAGTGCTCGGGAGACCACTGATATTGTCCGTGAATCGTTTTCAGGAACAGTTTGACTTATTTATTTAATCCCAAGTGAAAAATACAGCATAAGGTGGACATTTGTGGTGATAGTCGTAAATTCAGTCATGCAGATGCTTCATTTATTATACACAGCAAAGACGTGGCATAATCTTTAATAGACCTCTCCATTGAATGAGAATATCCCTAAATTTTGACATACCTCCTCTTGCCTCGCTACTCTGGCAATGTTAAGATGAGATGAGAAAATGAGCCCCTGCATGCGGGACTTTATTTACTTCCATAAATACTGCAATTGGCGATGTCTTTTCGGTGCACGTCACCCAACGTCATGCTTTGTGCGCCTGCGTGTCCCACCACGGACACGTTCCATTCACATTAGAAGTTGCATTTGGTTTTGTAATGTGAACGAGCACATAAAAAGATTGGATTGACAAAGAAATCCGAATTGGGCATCACACCCTGCAGTGTGAGCGTAGCCTTATACTGTCAATTCTAGAAAACATAGAAAAGTAATTATTCAAACGTAAACAATGTGAAAAGTGACCTCGCTCATTTTGTCGCTTTCTAAGCAGGAATCAAAGTTGTCTGCATTTTTTAAAAAACAATCATGAGAGAGGTTGGAAAAGTCGGTAAATATAATTAGCAAATCGTTACATTGGCAACTCAGTTTTTTTTATTTTTTGTAAACTAGTGCAAGCAGCGGATGTCTGCTCGCGATGATGACCAATTTTTTAATTTAATTTGGTTCAGTTGTTCTTCTGTTAAACAGATCATAAATATTTCGGTTGAACTGTTGGGTAAATCATTCCCAATGCTTTTAGGGGGACACCCGGTAGATATGTTTTAATTGGTGCCAAGATTATTAGGAGCTCTTTGGAAAACATTATCCCTTGTAAGGACCAAAGACATTTGAGAAACCCTGCTGTCGATGATGTCATTTTTTTCTTAGGATGACTCGCAGGCAGATATCAGCATCCAGAAGTCATTGCAACCTTCCTTGTTGTTTTTGGAAGCACATTATGACCTGGAATAGGTTCACTTTAGGAGGATGATGGGAGTCCATTGCAGCTAATGAATGCCACTATCACATTTCTCATGTCAGCGTGACACGGGCGCATTAAGCAGTGAGTCAGTTTTGTGTGAGGTCTCCATGTCCCGGTACTTCAATTTTACGTTTTAAGCCCCCCCCCCCCCCCTTTCAGGTTCTCAATTCCTCTGTCACTCTCTCTCTCATCCGCTTGTTATTGTCTGGTTTAGAAAGTGAAGGGATTAACATGGACATTCCTGCCACATTATAAAAGAGGACAAAGCTGATCACATGACCCCCGCACACCAAAAAGTTTCCACTACCCCACGCTTGAAACATCACGTCACATATCCTGGTTTTGCTTTTACTGAAGTGATGTCAGACTTTCAATTGTGACTGAAATGGAGAATAAAAAGGTAGGTAGAAGTTCGTATTTTTTTTTTTTTTTTGATACATGTGTGACATAAAGAAAAATTGTGACGTGCTGGCAGATGATAGGATTTTTCTTTTTTTTTTTTAAACCACATGACAAGCTAGCTTTTCACAGAGGACATTGATCATGTCATCTTGAATTGCTTGTATAGATGTATTTGGGTCTCGGCATGGAAATCTGGCCTGTAAATCTCAATGCTGAAATGTTTCATCCACCTTAAACATTGTACAGCTGAATCATTTTTTTTTTAGAGTTGTTTTATGACGAGTCATTCATCTATACTTCCATCGTTTTGTATATGTGGTTCAAATTTGGTAGCATTCAGCCAAAATCTCGAGAAAAAAGTTCACCTCCAAAGGCTCGTCGGAAATAGCTAAAATGGCTGCTTCAAAACACAATGGAAGATTCGTCATTTCTTTTACAGGTATGGATTCTTGAGACTTTTGTGGTTCTACGCATTATAGACATGGCTACCAGATTTCAAGTTACTAAGTGAACCCGGTTTTCCAAAATATTTGGAGGTACAGCCAAGCTCTCCTACACAAGCTTGTCTTGAAGGCCTCCAAGATATGGCCAAAGCCACTCTAAAATGGCCTCTTCAAACCAATAATAGACTTCTTCTGACTTTTTATTAATCAGTGTGATACTCTTTGTAAGTCTTCTCACACATACAAGTGCCGATTTTTGAGGAAACTGGCCGAAAGGGCTGAATTGTCCCCAAAATACATTTTTGGGGGGCCCTGTTAGGAACGCGACCGCATCATGAACACACCAACAAAATTTAGTGTGGTGTTGTGGATGGAAAAGCTCTCAAAGTGGCAATGTATATGACGGAAAAGACTAGTGTGTCTGCTCCAGGTGACATGTATACCCCCCCTCGTGGTCTCAGCCTTGACCCATGGACCTCCTTTACTCTTTTTCTTTTTCACTCTCCCAAGGGACTCTTGTCCTTAGTTTTTGCCCGAGTACTGATTTAATCTCTTTTTCCATTTGTCCCTCTTTCAAGATCTGGTCGTGGCCCTTGACCAAATCATACGACAGAGCAATAAGTCAGCCGGTAATGTTGAGTTGTGCTTTATTCTTGTTAACACAAATCTAAGTACACACACACACGCACACACACCCGCACACGGGCTGCTGTGACCATGCAGGCCCGCTTCCCTAAAGTCATAGAGGCTGTATTAAGGGAATTGCATTAGTGTCCTGGCAACTGGAGATTTATGAGGAAATCTATTTTACTGTTGCTTTTATTTGCCTTTTATGATACTCTCTGTTTTGTGGTCAGATTTATTTCCTGACAGTTGTGCGAGGTCAAATACTGTCTGTGTTTTGTGTCGTTCGTGTAAATCCCGGCCCTTCTTTTGTGTGTCTGCGTTTCTTCACGGAGCACTTCAGACAACTCCATCACACAGTGAGTGGGTTGTGACAAGTGGGCTCTCGTTGCCGCTGCCTGGCGGATAAACACGCATTATGGAGCGCGTTTAGCTTAGTCGTAGCGCTACGGGGCTTTTATGATGCTCAGAGGCTACAAAAAATTGAGCAGTGGACATTACGTTTGAGTGCTTTAAAAATCCCTACATTTTTTTGTTTATTCATTTCGGTTCTCACTGGGGGAGCTTTCGTGAAATCTGCGTGACGTTTTCGATTGACATTTCGAGACAGGATTTTAGTTGAACTCACCAGGAAGACCCTTATGCCTTGTAAGAGTGTGGAGGGACCATCTTTGGTTTTGCTATCCCCATCGAGGGGGTCATGGGTTTACACTGTTCTTTTGTGTTTTATGGGCCCTCTGGGGCACCGCGGGCGCTGTCTACCGAACTGGTATTTCCATATAGCAAGCGGGTTAGCCAGAGTTCAGGCGCAAATCAAGCACACCCACGCTAGCGCGACAAAAAGAGTGATTTACATCCACAGCCATCTGCTTGTTATATTTGCCTCATTTGATGTATGCATGAAATCATCTCTGCATCAACAACCACAACAGCGTTATGATTTTAAAATTGGATGCATGCAAGACGGCTGAAATATGCACCAAGCTTTTGATACGATCCTTTTAATCAATCACTTCATTAATTACGGGCTGGGCACGGCCCTTTTCGTTCCACTTGATTCTTAATTCTTCATTTGGACAAGGATGCATCCAACTTGGTGGTAATGTATTGGGGAATACCCGTTTCTCTTCCAAAGGCCGCAAATGCATGCTCGGATGAATCTGGCTTTGAAGAACTTGATTGAACCCGATCCAACACCTTTGGAATGAACTTGAACAGACTTTGAGACAGGCCCCCCTCTCTCTAGGACCATTCCCACAGACGCACTCTAAAATCTTGTAAAAAAGTGTTCCCGAAAAGCTGTTATAGCTGCACTGGGGCTGACCTTGAACGCTGAACTTCAACTGAAGTTAGCAAAGAGGCGTCATTCTTAGGCACCACTGCCAGATTCTATGTTTCCCAACGTATTGCAAGGAGTAAAAAGTAGGTGCCATTGAGAAGACCAGAGCAGTGTGGACTATATTGGGATCTTTTATAAGCATAGTTGTATTGGAATTGGATCGGATGAAAAGGATGGATGTGGTTGGAAATTTTGAGCATGGGTCCTTTGCGGTCTGTCCTATCATGTCCACTTGGGGGGAAAAAAAATGTATTAGTTTTTCAGGCATGTTTTAGGTCCCCGAGAAGACAATTAATCTGTCGGGAAAATGAATGAAATATGCACTGAAAAGTGAGTTGTGTTTAGTCTTAATGTGAAGTGTAGCTGACCGCTCAGGCAACCTTTGTTACTTATCCTCAAAATTAACTGAATTCTACACTCATAAAGTGTCACAACAAAAGGAACAATACTTTCTGAATATGAACAAATCAAATTTGACCAGAACAGTTTTCAACCATCAAAGTTCCGCAGAATTTTCACCCGACCCAGGTCCGAACGGGTTGCTGAGTGGAGAGGTTTAGCACTCAGCGGGTCCTTATCTTGATGGTGAGTGGATGGACCGGTAATGTGGCCTTCGGAAATTCCACTGATTTATTGCTCTGCATTCCTTTGAGCTGCTTCAAAACCAATCTGTGTTGCTTCACAATCTGTTGAGTGGACGGAACTTTCCAACTAGGTCTTTCATATTTACATTATTCTGGCATCACAACCGTGACACATTTTTGTCATGAAATATCTTCATTTGTATAAACGAAACATGTGTCTCAATCCCAGACGAAAACCAGACCAGTGTCTTCATCCAGTTGACCATTCATGGCCACAGTTGCCCCAGGCGACCCCAACAGGAACAGATGCTGTTTTGCTGGTCTTTGACCTCCCCCCCTGACCTTTGAACCTATTGTTTCTCTCCACCGAAAGCCTCGTCTTCAACTTGACCACGTTTTCTTTCCTCTCCTCTGATGTTTTATTTGGCTTTGTGCGTCTCAGATACAAAGATCTCACTGCGCCGACGCTGGGCGACAAGAGCAAATTGTCGGCGGAGGAGAAGTGTCGCTGTGTGCTGCGGCAGACCAAACTGCAGGGATGGCAGGTGTGCGCCTTTTTCTGTCTTCCCATCGCTAACAAAAGATTTTGCCAAATGACTTAATCCCCTGACCCCCGCCTCCCTGTTTGTCAGAGATTCCTTGGAATCTTCGTCAACACGTTCCAGCTGTCCCACCTCATCATCATTCTTCCCTCGTCGCTGCTCACACACACACACACACACACACACACTTGTACAGAGAACCCATCGGAGGCGCCCACCCTGCCTCTTCTTGTTCCCATCTGCCAGACTGCTGTTGTGTCTGAGTGACTGACCTCAAGGGGTCACATTAGCTGCAGCCGTACTCACACGCGCGCACTCTCTCTCTCTCCTCTGCAAAGTTGGCTTTTTTGATGTCCTTTCTACAAGTAGCTGCCGGAGAGATGTCACTCACCCCATCACCCTCTTGTCCCCTCCCAAACACCACGGTGACTCTTTCCGCCCCCAATTTATTTATTTATTTATTTATTTATTTATTTATTTATTTATTTAATTGAATGCCGTGTCGGCACTCTGCCATACATTGCAGCTCTCCCGTCGTCTCACAGGTTGCCGTTGCTATACTGCATCACTGCTTCTTTCACCTCATCATTTGTGTGTTTTTTGTGCGTGTTTAGATGGGCAGCAGTAAAGTGTTTCTCAAGTACTGGCAGGCAGACCAGCTCAACGACCGCTGCTACCAGCTGCATAAAAAGATCATCACCTGCCAGAAAGGTAAAGAAAGAACTATTGATGACTCAAGTTTTCCTTGTAGGTACTTTTATACAACAACAACAACAACAACAACAACAACAACTGGGTGAAAACAGTCCAGGGGTGTGAAACAGTTCTGATTCTGACACAGCCATCATGGTATTGCCTCTGCCTGACTACTACTGGTCCAAGTGTTAATACAGAGGGATCACACTTCTCAGCCTCCCTTGGGAGTAAATGGGCTGTCCGGTCCCTATACCACCGATGTCTGAGTTTGGTTCGCAATGCCGGCAGTAAGTCGGATTCCTTCCCAGTGAGGGTTAGACTCTGCCAAGACTGCCCTTTGTCACCGACTCTGTTCATAACCTTCATGGCTCCAGGGATGACCCAGGACATCCTGGAGAGACTAACAGGCCAACTAGCGATGGACATAGTTTTCGTTTCATTGTGCGAATCCCATTAACTTAACTGGAATTTGTTGTTCATTCATCGCGTCTTGAAGCAATTAAGTCAACATTGAGTTCCACTCAAATAGTTTTCTGACTAAAGATCGCATGACATATGATATGGAAATAATTGTAATTCTTCCATCCAGTGGTACGTGGCTGGCTCGTCCGGCAGCGCGTCCGCCGTCGACTACCGTCGCGGTACAAGGACGAGGGAAGTGTGCAGCGCTTCCTGCAGGGGGCGGAGGACATGGGGCTGCGCACCTACGACCGCCTAGTCATACAGAACGCCTCTGACATCTCGCGAGAGAGCGACCGCCTGCGTTGCCACAGCAACGGCGGCGGCCTCATCCTTGCCGCCAACCTTGGCAGCAGCCCGCCACTCGGGGAAAGGCCCGATCCGGTTGGCAAGGAGGAGGAACAACCGGTTAAAAGGTGAGTTGTAAACTCAGTGACGCGACGTCATCGATCTGCTTGTCAAACTTTTATGACCTTGAGAAATACTTCTTACAAGTATACTGCTACTTATCACAACTTGCAAAATAATAAATCGACCTTATTTCTCCTTCAATATACATTATTTCATACTTATCAATACCAGGTTGCTGTTTGTACACTTGGAAAAAACAAATACAAAGCCCCCCCATTCTAAAATAATGACGGTTTTTGTTCAAACCTCACAACTCAGCAATTGAAACTCTAAAGGCTTTTCTGAAGGCTAATTGAGGCTACATTTACAAATCTACACTTCCACTCAAAAGCCACAGCGGTAGGTACACCTGCACAATCTCATGAGCTCCGATACAAGAACTGTATCAGCAATATTTGCCCAATGTTTTAGATACGAATTTATTGTTGAATAAGATCCTCCTGACTTTGAAGTGTCCTTGTGCAAAGTGTCCTTGTGCATGTAACATCTGCTGCCTGGCGTGTGCGCGCACACACACACACACACACACACACACACACGTATGCATACACACAATTCTTTGTAAAGATAAATGAAAGGTTTCCTCAGAAGGATTTTACTGAGGGAGCAAATGATCTCCATGCTCAAATTCAATGAAACCAACTTAATTTCTCCACAAGTATTTAAAATTCCAACCGCCATCACTTACGCAGATTGTCTCCCGACTGCCCCTCACCCCCTGCATGCAATCATCGGACGGACAGATGGTTCACTGAGATTAGCGTAGGAAATATCAAACTGGATATGATCAAATTACTGTCGGGAGATTAGATCGAAAGCGTAATCTCTTGTCTCTTTATCCTCCAATTGGCCTCCTTAGCTCGTATTTGCGGCGTGACAGTTGATGTGTGACTGTAATGCTGCGCTCACATGAAAGGCTTTCGCATTGATGCCTCAAGAAGACGACACAAAATCGCTGCGCTTGTCAAACACTGCTCTATTGATTTAATTTTGGTCTGCCACTTGAACAATGTGTTGAATTCATCTCCTGCACTTATTCCACTTCATATTTTTTTATTTATATCGATACAAAAATGGCCTCTCCCTTGTCAATTTGGATTATTTTTGATATTTTTCTCAACTAAAAAAAAAAAAAACATGAGGGGTTGGCTATGGGCAAGAATGGATGTATACAATTGAACAATTCAAATAACAATCTTTACTGTATAGTGATCTAACTGCTGTTCATATGTAGGGTTATGGAAAAAGTTGGAAAAGTCCACGATGTCGCTGGGAACGGGGGAAGCCGATTCATTCGCCACTTTCGATCCAGCTCGGTGCCCGTGCCCCTGGCTATCGACAATTCAACACAGTCCACCAGCAGCCCGGCCGTCAAACCGGTGCTGCAGCACGTCGCTCACACCAACGTGGACATTACCAGCGGTTGCGCTGCTTCCTCGCCTCGTAAGCAACCTCCCCCAAAACCAAAAAGGGACCCCAACACGCGCCTGAGTGCGTCGTATGAGGTGGTTAGTGCCGGCTTGGTGATGGCGGTCAAAGAGAGTGCCACTCCAGAAGGCTACGCTTCACCAGCTGGGAGTCCCCCCAAATCCCAGCTGTCCCCGACAGACCCCGCAGGTACACGCACTTGATTTTAGAAGACATGACAGATGGTTGCTCGTGTGTGTAGCATTTGTTCTTTCCATTTTCTACAAGCCAAATTCAATGTATAGCTCGGATCAAAAGGACAAAATGTAACAACGGGACGGTTGGCAATGGGGATTTTCAGGGCGAGTCTGGGCACTCCACTTCTTGGTCTCAGTTTTGGAAAACAAAAATGATTTGCTTATACTCTGGAGCAACTTAAATGTTGATATATTTTTCTCTTTCATGGTGCATTTTTTTGACTGATGCAAAAAATACGGTACCTCTGACACAGACAGTGTGCTTAAGCCGCAGTCAGAAACAGTTGTTTTCTTTACGTAGGTCTGTTTGTTCCTCACTGTACAGTAGGGGTTGAAAATTTTATTTTTTGGGGGCCGGGGGGTTGGTTGGTCATCTCAATGTGATGGAAGTCAAGTCAAAATCAATTCATCTGTGAAATCTATATTTTTTCAGCACGAGCACTGCCATTTTTTGTGTTATGGACCTTTTTTTTGGAAAAGTATATTTCTACGGACCTTCATAGAAAAAAATAAAAGTGATTAAAAATAAAACCATTACACTAGATAGAGTTGTTGTCATTAGTGGGAATTCTGTGAATGTTTTTTTTTTCTTTTCAACAAGCTGGCCAGTCTCATATTGTGATCCATCGCACTAAATGCCGATGCTGAGTAGTAAAGTCAACTCATTGACTAGTTGCCTCAATCCCTACTGTACAGTACTGACTTTCCTGGGCCACACCCCCAACCGAGAAATAGATGCACAGCTCCTCCTGCATCATCACATAATGTTTAAAAGAAGGAAAATAACCGTTGTTTGGACCAAGTCTACTAATCCAAAAGGTGGTGCGTGTGAGTCAGTGCTTAATTGCTGGATCAGGGCCATGGTCCGGACTGATGCTTGTTTCCAAATTTATGGGTCGCATTAATCCGACCCCATAAAATTTTAAAATAAAATCAGTCCTTTTTTTAATCTAAGCCTAAAGTTGACATAGGAAAAATCAGCCATTTTTTAATTTTTGGATTTTTATTTATTTATTTTACTGTCAATTGAAAATAGAAAGAATAAGTGATCGACGGATAGTTGCTCAGAGTGCTGGTGACCATTATTTGAACTTTCTCGATGTTTCCTCAGGGTCCAAGCCCCGCCCCCACAGCGATGACTACACGACCATGAGGAAGGTGCCCCCGCCCAAACCCAAACGCAGTCCCAACACCAAGCTGACAGGCTCGTACGAGGAGATCAATGCCGTGGCGCCCCTCCTCCACCAGCTGCGTCCTGCTGATGTCAAGACAGCGCTGCTGTCGCGCACAGGCGGCACGATGCCGAAAGCGGCCTCCCTGGATGCTACGCAGGGCTTAGCGCTGAGTCTCTATCAGGGCCAGGACGAAGAGGACATCTACATTGAGATGGTTGGCTCTCAGCCCCGTGCTGGGAGCCTCCAGGAGCCACCCGACAGCCCAGAAGAAGCGGAATCGGAGGCCGTCTACGAGGAAATGACCTTCTTCCCTCCTGATGATGCTGCGCCTCCACCTGCCGTTGCAACCAAACCAACCCAGCTGGATGTTCTCAGCTTCAGCCTGGTTACATCCGGCATGTGCCGCCCTCAGAGCGAAGAGAGTAAGCGGGTGACGTCAAGGGTAACGGCAGCTTTGGACATTGCTTACCCGCAAAATGCGATGGTTGGTGGTGCGCCCAGGATTCAGCATGGAAAAGATGGCACCTGTGACATTCCGGCCCCCTTTCCCAACTTGCTCCCTCATCGACCGCCTCTCCTGGTGTTCCCGCCGTCCCCCGTCACCTGCTCCCCTGCTTCAGACGAGTCGCCCCTCACTCCTTTAGAGGTCAAGAAGCTGCCGGTGTTTGAGACCAATCTCAACTACTCTGCAGGTCCAGACAGCCCACTGTCGCCTCAATATGTGCGGCAGAGGGCAGACTCCTCCCCGAGCCTCACCGTCCTAATGCCGGAGAAGAAGGCTACCCCTCCACTAACCCCGCCACTTCCTCTTTCGACCACAAGTGGCCCACCTCCTCCATACAGACCACCTTCCCACTTCCCCTTCCCACCTGAGGCCAGCTTCCTTGCGCTGGCACGGACCGCTTCTGTCACCGGAACCCAGTCGGAATCCTCCAAGTCCCTAACGTCACAGAGACCAAGTGTGGAGCCGCCGGGGAAACCGCCCCCTTACTCCCCGGGGAAGATGTCCCGGCCAGAACCTCGAAGAGCTCACTCCTGCTCCTCCTCGCCCTTGTTGTTCAACCCAGCAAACGGAAGACCTCTTACCAGTCCCCTGGATGAGCTCAGCACCTTGTTCAGCACGGGGCGCAGCCTTCTGAGGAAGTCCTCAACGGGACGCAAGATGCGAGACGGAGGTTTGTCACTCCAACGCACGCATTTTTAAGATACAGCGGAACATCTGACGTCAAATTATATTCCCATCTCCAAATATCAATGTAAAACCCTCCTTTTATAAGAGCGAACCCTCAAAATGACCATTCAACTTTGACACCATGCTGCGACATTCGATGCTATGGCAACAGAAAAAATTGTTTGTGTCTCCCGTCTGGCTAGAATACTTGCTTGCTTCTCATTTGGATGAATTCCTGAGTAGTAGTCACAATACGAGCCCTGGAATTCACCAAAAATGGGCGCTTCAAACCACAACTACACACTACTCACTCAACTGCTGGATGCTGTTCTGATGAATATGGCTGCCCTGTTTCCAGGGTACGCTACTGACTGAGTTTTAGATTCAAATATATTTTCACCGGGATACTTTGGGGTTTGTGAAAAGTGGCAAGTTATTGGGCAATTCGGGACCCCCAAAAAGGCAATTCATTTGTTGGAATAAAAATTACCTGCGATTTCAACGAGGGATTCCCACTGCCTGCTGCTCAGGCTCTCATAATAAACGTCACCCTCATAAAACACGACACACAATGTTGCAAGTGATATTTTAACATTCTTAACTGTCATAGAAGTGGAGAAAAAAAATCAAATCAATCATTCATTTTAATGACAAAGCCACACTGATTTGGATGACACCTGCTAGTCACAAATTTTGATTTTCAACATTCTTACTTGTCTTGTAAAAAGATGTGCTGTGACTGTGTGTCACTTGAATTGTCTTCGACAAAAAAAGCCAAAGACAAAGCAAAAGATAATGCAAGCCTAAAGTTCGCTGTGATCCACAGCGGTAGTTTTGGATGACTTTCCAGCCCTATTTTACCAATAATTAATTTCCAAGTATGCAGTGTTGTGTTATTACTGGAAGACCCTCCTCACCCCCTGCCCCTCAACCACACCACACCCCTCGAGACAAAGCAAAATTGTGCATTGATCGATTTCAGATGTTCCACTGTACACGAAACACATAAAACAGGAGCATAAATCCCCTATCGTCACTTTTCATTGTGTGCCGCGTCTGCACCGACTGCACACATTGAACCCACGGGCCAGATGTACATCAGTGTGGGGGTGATGGCAAGTTAACCTCTGCTTTCTTATCCCATGTCTCACTCAGCCTGCTTCGGCGCGAGTCCATCTTGTGCTGTATTTACTGTAACAAGTTCATGATCCAAGTCTGGGGCTGATTTATTAGGTGCTGTCTGATTACCTTCTACACTGTAGTGTGGCGCAATAGATAAGTCATTTCCTCTGTTTTTCACCATAGGTGTTTCATTTCTCCGAACTCCACTTTTTTTTTTTTTTTTTTTTATTTTGGGATGGGTTTTAGCATACCATCCTTTTAT